CCCCTCCCATCTGGCTTCTGACAAGCAAAGTCAGTTAGGATTTGCTTAATGACTGTGATTCACTGTTGTAATTTGCTTAACTACCACCTTAAAAATGTCCATATAATTGGTCTGCACTTGCTTAACAACTGAATCCCTTAGCAACCAAAATTCTACTCCCAATTGTGGTTGTAAGTCAAGGAGTACCTGTATAAAATACAACATAAATCTATTGGTATGTAAGTACAAATAATTAGTGACTGAAGGATTTCCCATTCAATTAGCCTCCACCAGGGATAGCTGATAACATTAAGAGTGAAATGATGGCAAACTTGTTACATAATTAACCTCTTTTATAATGTGCTTGATCAAGAGTGGATCCTCTATTGACATTCTTCATCCATTTTTCCATCATACTTTAATAGCTTTTCATTCTCTAGTGGGCTCTTTTAATTTGAGTTCCTACTGCACCTGACCTCTTAATTCCTCAATCATCTTTCTTAATTCAGTTACATGTGGGCCTTCTGCTTATTTTGAACTATTACTCCACTGATGCTGGCTTCAGGCTCTTGCGTAGCTTTGTTTGTTGACATATGCTGTTCTTGATTCCATATTCTTAAGAACAATACATAGTCCATTTGATTGATTGATTCATCCATATTTTTATATTTGTGTCAACAAAAATTGAAATTAAATTGAAATCACAAGAGCTTCAAGACCTGACTCTGTCAGTTGGCTTGGGGCTCCAAGTGGGGAGTTTCACACTGCAGGTAATTGATAGATTAATAACAAATCCCACCTCCAACCCACCACTTATCCTACTCCCTCCCTCCCCACTTTTAGTTAGGGTTGAGAATTTGTATTTTTATATTTTTGTAGTATTGTATTTGTAATATATATGGGCTTTGTATAATTTTTATCCTTTTTAACATCGTAAGTTGCCCAGTTAGCCTGTGGTAAGATGCGTGGCTAATAAATTTAATCAATAATAATAATAATATTGCTCCAATCTGAAAGATATGATGCTGTGTTCAAAGTCATAGGATCATATCAATGCAGCATTTAAACACATCAAAAACAAGATGAAATTTCTCATCAAGGGCCAGAGTCCAACTGGAATAAGATGCTTGTCAGGGTCCTTCCAAATAGCAGAAGCTAGATGTATCTCCGAATGCAGCTTATGAATGCAATAGGCTGCCATTTTTTGGCTCCTCACCCTCCCTCTGCTTATGACGTATGGCCTTAAAAACACCTCCTTTGGTTGCCTGGGGTAGGTGGGGCAGAATCATCTTTTTTAAAGTAGTCTGTAGCCAAATGTCATGCACTGAACAGCCTAATCCATAATAATCAGCATTTTGAGGTAGATTCAGAAACTTACTGGCAGCTTCTTCAGGGACCATAGAATGGCAGTAACTCTACAATCCTCCTTCACAAAATGTAGGTGCTGAATCATTTACAAAGGCAGTAGAGTGTGTTGGAATAGTAAAAAATGTGTGATTGTGAGGGCCATCAGAGCCATGTAATCCAAGTGGTGCCATAACTTGCATTTCTATTTTAAAAAATGGGCAAAGGAGTCCTAATTTCTATTTGCTGTCCAAGCAGGAATCATGAATCTAGGTGGACCAACAAAGTATAAACTAGATCTTCTGGGATAGGGATCCCCAGTTCGGAACTGGGCTGCGGAAAGTATCGGGAGAACACATATTTGTGTGCAGCTCTCCTTTTGTGAGCAGAGGTGCTTGTCTCATGCATGCAGCTCTCCTTGTGCAAGTAAAGGGTGCTTGCACTCAAGTGCCACTCATCTGCCACTCGCACAGAACTACCCCCTCTTTCCAAGCCAGGACGGTTGGGGACCAGTGTTCTAGGGGAAGTATAACCCTTGGTAGATATTTCTGGACAGCCAAGATAGTTATGAATGAGAAGCAACTCCACTCAGTTACAGACAGTTTCTTGGTACCCAGTCTCTTACAGCCACCAGATTCTGATTCAAAACTTCCAAAGCTGGTTGTAGCTTTGTATAATTGAATATCAGCATGCCTTAAAATAATTAAAAAAAAGAGAAAAATGCTGTCTCGAAAGATTGCGAACAATTGGTTAGACTGGTTCTTCTACCTGAGTGGATTGTTCCATTTAATAAATATGATGAAAACTCTGTTCTGTACTTATTCCAATGTGAAATTTCAAAGGGTCGGTCTTTTCCCCCATGATATTTGACATCAGTGCCACTACAGTAGGAGCCCGTCAGGTTGGAGGGTTAGAGTCAGTGGTGGTATGTTCCGGTTCGGCCCAGTTTGGCTGAACCTGTAGTTTAAAAAAACCAAAAACACCTCATGATCAGCTGAGAGGAGAAAGAAGAGAAAAGCACAGGAACGGCCCTTCCACCTACCCCTGTGCTTTTCTTTATTCGATCAACTGATTGGCACTGCAGGCCTCAGCTGGTGTGGGGAAAGCATGTTAGCTGCATGCGCATGCACACATGATTACCGAACCGGTAGTGAAACATGTAGTATCCCACTGCTAGTTAGACTTATGGTTGAGGTTAGGGTCCAATATCAATATTAATAAATGTTGGTTTTTATAAAGTCCCTTGCTGTACCTTTCCTCTGCCCTTCTGTTGTGGTAAATGCCTGGCCTCTTCCCCAATTCTGTTCCTCTTTCATTTACCACCTAGATCAGGGGTCTCCAACCTTGGCAACTTTAAGTCTTGTGGATTTCAACTTCCAGAGTTCCTCAGCCAGTTTTGCTGGCAGAGGAACTCTGGGAGTTGAAGTCCACAAGATTTAAAGTTGCCAAGGTTGGAGACCCCTGACCTAGATATCCCATTTGGCCATAATATCCAGGGAATTTCTACAGACTTCATCAAACTCCATTCCATCTTCACCATTCAAACAACTTACTATCATTTATCCACATAGTCATGCCTTCTGCTGCACATTACCAATTTTAGGCATTTTTGCCTACCTACCTGCAGCAATGTCAACATAGTTCCTAGTGGCACTCATGCACTACTGCACTCAATGTACTATAGTAAGACAAGTGTTTCTACTCTCCCTGGTTCCCTCTTCCCATAGTTTGGTCTTCTTCATTTCTCCCTACCTCTCACCTGGGAGCTGAATTCCAAAGTCCACCACCAGATTAGCCTGTTCTTTCAACTAGGCTTCCTGGCCATTTCAGGTTCCTTCCATTCTCTATCTTCAGCCAGTGTCAAATCAGCTTGGGTTCCTGGATTGGCTTTCTACTGCTCCCATTACTTTTCTAGTCTCTGATCCCAGATTGGTCTCTCAGTGTCGGCTGTCATCACAGCCTCTACCTCTGTTATCCACCTCTGTCAGAACACGTGTGTGTGCATGTGTGTGTATTTTCCTGATTGGGCCTCCTTTTTCTCTTTAGTGGCTGCTGAAATAATAATGGCAGCTGCTGTATTTTCCATTTGTGACCTTAGTGACTGAGGCCATCAGAAAATTGCTAACCTGAATTATCCCTAATTTCCTCACCACTGTCTGACAACTCCAAATCTTATGGCCAAGTTTCATGATTCAATTTTGTGTCCATCTATCTCCAATAACACATCCACCATTCCTCACCTTTTGGTCTGACCTTCTGTCAACAACTTCTCATAACATTTAACATTTTCTCACTCTTTTCCTCACAACACAATCCTATTATTCATTTTCTCATATGTTTTCATCCCCCATTTCTACAAATTCTCACTGACAATTAGACTGGATGCCTAATTCAACCCTAACCCTCTTGCTAGCCAAAACAGTTCCTACCCAAGGCGATTAAAAACTATAACAAAACTTCCATTTATCTGCACTGTAGTCTGGCACCAACTCTCATTGTTTTGCCTGCCTTGTTTCATGAAACTTATTGAAAATTTAAAATTACACTTTTAGAACTCTCTTCCTGTTTCCTTAGTGTGAAATCAAAAACCTTTCTGTCATGATACTTTGAATACTAGCTTGACAGCATCTAATCTTGGTGGTCTAGGAGCTTCAATCTCTTGGCATTAAATACTTTGTATCATGATAGGCTAATCCCCCCCCCCCCAAAAAAAAACACACTTCAATTTGTTAAATGTAAGGCTAAATTTAAGTTAAGTACATTTAAAACTATCCTCAAATAACTGTCAACTGTAAATGAATGAAACAGCTCTCAAACAGTTCACTTACCTAAAGGATAAATAAAAATAAAAATTAGCTCAAATAATGTTCTGCTTTTCTTGATGCCTTTGTTGGTTTCTAGTCAGGGGTTTCTCCCTTCTCCCTTGGCTTCTTTTTGCAGACAATCTCTAATATTTCCAAGCTTGCAAGGCCTGGTGTGTAATTAGCATAATGCTCACATAAGTAATTTCCTTTCAAGCCTTCAAGATTAAAAGAAAGAATGTTTTGGTACACCTTGGTGGGAATGCTTTGGCAAGGCAGAAACTTTTAACAGTCCAAAATAGCTTTGTAATATAACAGTGTTTGGTGGACCACAAAACCAACTATTCATATATCACCAAAAAAAAACCTGGCAGTGATGCACAATAAATCTCAGCAAGCACAGCTGACATTTGCACCTGCCTTCATAATGAGAGACTATTTAAAGCATCGGCATTTGGCCACTTAAGCATTTCTGGACACTTACAGACTGAATGAGTCATCTTAATTACAAGCAGAAATGTGAACCCTATACTGATGGGCCAAAAATCAAATTAATTTAAGTTCTGCAGCTTGTGTTTTGTTTTTAAAGAAAACGGACAGCTCTGTATTTAATTTATTCTTTTTTTTATGCCCATAAAGTAGAATAGTAAAAAGTTAAGACTTTGAAAACTGAGTCCCTAACTTCAATCTCTTTTTTTCTTTCCTCCCTTCCTCCTGGTTCCTGGCTGATACCCATATTCATAAAGTTATTTAATAATATTGATGCTATCAACTAATACAATGCATTTCTGCTTTTGCAATGCCAAATTTTCAGACACATACAGTGTATGCATGCTTATTTATAAGCTATGGCATCAATACATTTAGATGTTTGATTTGCCCAAGAAATCAGGTTAAGTTGAAATAGTTTGTCAGTTACCACCTTTGAATATAATTTACACTGCACTGTGCATTATACCGGAAAGTTTTGGCCAGTATTTCAAGCGGAAATTATTATTTGTATCTGCCTTTATCTTCTGTATCTCTTTTCCCCTTCATCATCTGTAATTACAATAGGTTTGGGCTTTACTTATGCAAGTACTAATTACACAGTAGATCAGATCCTTTGAAAAGGGAGTGTGGTACTGAAATATAAGATGTGTATATTGGAAAAAAGACAAAACAGCAATAGAACATTTTTTGAATTCTTTCATGGCTTTCCTTTTTGAATAATAGTCACTTTCCTTCAATAGCCTTGGAACTTTTTCACTACCTTAGAAAAACAATCTGAATCAGCATTGACATTCTTAATTTGAATTTTATTTTTGAAAATGCAACTAAAAATAGTAATGTGACATGGCCTCAAGTGGTGGCAATAATTATTCCCTATTGGTTGAACTTTTTGTGATTCATTTAGCCTTACCTGCAGTCAGTACAAGTTGTAGAAAAACTCCTTTTTTCACTTTCCGAAAGACAGTGCTCCTCTAGGGCTTATCAAGCAGATTCATAGCTTATCCCAGGATAGTTCTTCTTCAGCTACTATTATGACATGGTACTAAATCTAATTGTTGATGGGGGAAAAAAGCAAGTCTTTTAAACATTCAAGCTTAGGATTTAATATATACTTGAGTAAGTTTTTATTACTGAGAACAAGGGGTTCCACAGATAAAATTTATACTTAAATTATAACTATTTAAAATGTAAAATGTTGAACAATGATGACAGACTTAGGTCAGAGTTTTGCAAGGCTTAGTCAGGACGTGTTTCTTGATAGCTTCCTCCTTGTGTTTATGTAGCCAAATCCTTTAAACATTTTTTAAAAAATGTCCTTGATTTGGCAGCTTGACAAAGCCTATAAATAACTGGCTCTTTCTGTGAGCCAATTTGTCTTTTGTATATTGAGTTTAGCTTGGTAATCTGTTCAATTTTATTTCCAGGTGTTGCAGTAGTGAATTACAGCTTATCAAAGAGTCTTCCACCTTTTACAGATCAATGCACACATATGTTTGGTTCTCATTACCCAAATTTGCGGCTCATTCCATGTGCTTTGGCACCTGCAAAAAAAAAAAAAGCTTGCATACAGGGAGCTCATTTCACAGTAGGAAGGGTGCAAGATTGCTGCTTCATGCACATTAGCTAATGCAGAGAAGATGATACTCAGGCAGAATCCAAAACTAACAACACAACAGTGTTTACCTTGAGTTCTGGCAGGAAATCATTATTCAATCTGGTTTGTTTTATCAGGCAATTCCAGGGCCACACAGATGGAGCCAGCTGTATTGACATTTCTAATGATGGTACCAAGCTCTGGACGGGAGGCCTGGACAACACTGTCAGATCCTGGGACTTGAGAGAAGGAAGGCAGCTCCAGCAGCATGACTTCACATCCCAGGTGTCTTTTATTTTCTTTAAAGCATTTCTAAGACAGTGAATAATACACATTTCAAATCCTTCATCTACTGGGTACATTTAGTAACTCTGGGAGGAGACCAAACATTTGTTCAGAAGTACTGCTTAACAGTGTTCACAGTTTAACCTTATTATCCATATAGGTTGCTATAGTCTCAAACTACTATTAAGGAAGCCATTTATTAAGGGATAAAAACCACTTCTAACAGGATGTATTTAGGAATTTATACCACCTGTTTGTGACAATTTCTTTGAAATTTTTTTTGAATATTTCCTATACAATCTTTAAAACTGAGTGCATATATAAATCTTACTTGGCATTTTTCACTTGGGTTAGGTGAAAACAAAGGAGAATAAAATGCAGCAAAATGCTTTTATAGGTGACAAGCCTGTTTAGCACTAGTCCACATATTCTGGAATTAATATATACATATTATAAATGTATATTGGTCCTGATTTTTAGCTCTAAATCATCCTATGTTTCACAATATATATACAAAGCAGTTTCTATTTCTCTCTCCCTCCATCCCTTTCTTTCTCTCCTTCTCTCATTGTTTACCCTTTTTGCTGGGATTGTAAATAGCTCTCTGTTTTTATTTTAAAGATATTTTCCCTTGGCTATTGTCCCACTGGTGAATGGCTGGCTGTGGGAATGGAAAGCAGTAATGTGGAAGTACTGCATGTAAATAAGCCAGACAAATACCAGCTTCATCTGCATGAAAGCTGTGTGCTATCACTCAAGTTTGCATACTGTGGTAAGTTTGAGGAATAATGTCTAACAGTCATCAACATTTGTATAAATTAGCTGCAGCTGCCCTTAAAAGAAGAGATGCCACTTGAATATTTCCATTCCACTTTGCATTAAGAAGTAGAAAATAAATGTAGTTCTCTTCTTGGTGGTTCTCCCAGCAAGGATGTGAGAAGGCTTACAAAATAATAATATAGCAGATAGAGGCACTGTACAATATTTTTAACCACCTGCAGAAAGTTTGCAAATTTGGAGTACTCTTTGACTTTTAATTCCTGCTGGATCAGTACATGGAGTTTTGTTTTTTTTTGCCAATTTTAGCTGATGTGCTAGTTGCAGCCTTACTTGAAATAGAGGGCATGACTACAGTGGTCCATGCCCTTATAATTTGTTAAACTGCCACAAATACTCAGCATGGGGCCACTTTTTTTTTCCAATGATGTGGTTGGCCATCTGGGATGACTTCTTGTGGAGTTTTGTATGTCTTTAACATTGTCCTTTTCTGAAGGACTTTGAGGGCGTTGATATGCTTTGGTTTTATTTGTCAGATAAAATGTAATGCAAAATGTAAAATCCCCAAACCAATAGTTACACCGGTCGGATCCCACCCCTGGTTGAAGGTCCACAGTTTTGATACTCACTGGACCAGTTAGTTATGACCTTTTAGTTAAATCTTGCATTTCAGTCACTTCATAAGGATACATCACTTGAAAAGTTGATTTCAGAAACTCCATGGGTTATTTATGCCAGCAAGCATTTGTCAAAATGAAAAGTTGTATTAAGTTTCGTGAAGTGTTCTTTGACACTTTTCCCTACTTTCTGTTCCCCTTGTCCTCTTCTCTCCCATGTGATGTTTTGAGTCACAGAGTTGATTGTATTAGGAAACAATTCAGAAGAGGGCTTTTATGAATACAGTATATGTCTATATAGTATATCTAAATGTTCTCATTAATGATCATTTTCCAGGCAAATGGTTTGTAAGTACCGGGAAAGATAATCTCCTAAATGCCTGGAGGACCCCATATGGTGCCAGTATATTCCAGGTAAGAACTATAATTTGCATATAAAATAAGTTTAAAAACAGAATTCTTTTGAAATGGGGGGGTTAATATTACCAGTACCATTACCAATACCTTTTCTGCTGAGCCAGGAGGTTCAGGGAACTGAGCATAGGCTTATTTCAACCTTAAAAAAGGACATGTTACACTCACATTAGAATTTAAATCCAAAACTTGATACATTGTGGGTAGGAGCAAGGGAAGGTTTGTGCATAGGTGTGAGTTCAGGCATATAGACCCTTATACTTCTGTTTCTTCTCTCCTAGTCCAAAGAGTCATCTTCTGTGCTCAGCTGTGATATCTCCGTTGATGATAAATACATAGTTACCGGGTCTGGAGACAAGAAGGCTACCGTCTATGAAGTTATCTACTGAGAAATTGTGTTGGAAACTTAAAAAGAGTTGAACTGGGCCAAAATGATTTTAAACTGTAGATGTAGAAAGACTCTAATTTTTTAAAACGATGAAACGAAGAACTTGGTTCCCACATCTTCCCACAACGCTCCTCAACATCTAGCAAGAAGGACTAACGTAGCATAGTTTTAATGGATTTTTAACAGCAGAGTCTGTTGCAGCCTTTTGGGGGCCTCCTTTTATGACATCATAGAATCATGCTCATTGCTTGATGATGTGGGATGACGTTTCAGCACTTGCGGTTCCACCTGCATTCTGTCTTGTGTAGAACAGTGGTATCTTGGATAAAATTGTTTCCTGGTTTTTGCCTCTTGGGATATGGGTTTTTGTATGTTTTGTTGAAGATCAAACATTTGTATAAATTGTAAATATATTTGGTTTATTACAGTAAAGGCTTTAGTATCAATAAACAGTCTCCTTTCTTTCCCCCACCGATGCCCCTTAAATAATTTAAAAGAAAAAAAAAGGCAGCATATAGTTTAAAACTTAGAAGCTCGGCTAAAACTGGCAAGTATTTGCTCAGGTTTTCTATTTTCAGCACCTGTAAAGTTTATTTAGGGATGTTGAATAAGAATTCATAGTTCATGTTGACAACCAACAAAAGTAATACAGAACTGTTCGGAAATATATGAACATATTTATAAAATGTAGTACTCCTATTACTGATAGAAAATAGTAGTTTACAACACTGCATCAGAAAATGAGCACAGGGAGTTCTTGACTTAAAAACAAAATTGAGTGCAAAATTTCCCTTGCTAAGCAAGATAGTTGTTAAGTGAATTTTGCACCATTTTATGATCTTCCTTGCCACAAGTAAATCGCTGCAGTGTTAAGTTAGTAACATGGTTATTAAGTGAATCTGGCTTTGACCGTTGACTTTGCTTGTCAGAAGGTTGTAAAAGGTAACCACACTGTCATAAATACATGCCAGTTGCAAAGCATCTGGATTTTGATCACATGACCACCAGGATGCTATAATGGTGGTAAGTGGAAAAAATGGTCCTAAGTCACATCATCGTAACTTTGAACGGTCACCAAATGAATGGTTGTAAGTTGAGGATTACCTGTAGTTGAGGCCCTTCCTGCTTTTGAGCTATTCCATTCTTCTGTGAGTTTTGCTACTTTGAAAGGATATGAATACAGTTAAGGTTTTACGAAGAATTTGCTATAATAGAAACTGCAGATATACTGTGCTTCAGATCTGAAGCTGAAAAGGTGAGCCAAATGCAGATTTACTGGGACTACCTGGGGAGCCCAGGAAAAGGCATAGCTCACCTAAAGAGGTGCTGAGAGATATGAAGTACATGTCTATTCCCACCCTGAATGACATTTTTGAATCCAAAATGCATTTCTTCAAAAGTTAATGTGCATTTTGTACAACTGGTACACAAGATAAATTTAATCATATTAGAAGAAAAAGAAAACGTTTGGGTTTTAATGTTAATTTTGTTTCTTGAATATATCTGCCACAACTTGTGATAAGTAACCAGCCTCTCTGTCCTGATTCAGAAGAATTTCACCTGAAAATCAAATTTAAAAAAGATCTCCGAGCAATGTTGGCTTAACTACGGACATTTTCCATTTGGGAGCAAATTTTCTTTCTGGCATCCAGTGCCTGAAAAGACGTTTGTTTTTTTTTCTTTTTCAATTTACATGCTCATTCTGCTGAATCAATTTTATAGTAGCATGAAATGATAATAGTTCTAATATATATAACTTTGCATCTGGAATATAAAATATTAAGTATTCTTGATGGCCTAGATGCATTGCCTTTAAAATGAGGACAGTGTCTCCATATCAACAGATTCGTAATAGATGTACATCTATATGAAAATGGCTGACTGAGTTTTTCATTTTGATATGCCATTTTTGATGCATGAGGTTCCCACATTTCAACCACTTTCAAATCCTGTTCTGTATCAAGCTATAAAAAGGTAAATATTTCAAATTATCCCTTTTTTTTTCTCCTGCACAACTTTACTGCTCATGAACAGATGGTCTCTATTTATTTTTCGGTGTGTTTGTACACAGCAGGATACTTAAAACCTTAAAAAGAGTTTATGGGTGTTTTTTTTTAATGTTGGAAGTCTCGGTTCTTTGGATGGACTAATATGGAGATATCTCCTGACTTAGGCAGCTTAAATCAGCATGTAAGTGTTCTGCTTGAAGATTTTTTTTTTTTTCAGTTGCAGAAATGGAATTGCAGATTTGCTTGTTTTTGTAGTATTTTTTTCTCTCTAACAGACTGAGGTCCCTAAATATATAGGTAGTCCTCAATGTATGACCAGAATTGAGCCCAAAATTTATGTTAAGTGAAAATTTTGTTTTTTACGACTTTTCTAGCCGTGTTTGTTAAGTGAATCACTGCAGTTGTTAAATTAGTAAAATGGCTATTAAGTGAATCTGGTTGCCCCATTGACTTTGCATGTCAGAAGGTTGCAAAAGGGAATCACATGGCCCTGGCACATCAATTGTCAAGTATCTAAATGTAAATCCCATGACCATAGGGATGCTGCAACAGTCATAAGTTTGAAAAATGGTCACAACTCACATTTTTAGTGCCGTTGCAACTTCGAATCATCACTAAATGAATTGTTCTAAGTCCAGGACTACTTGTAGCATAATATGCAATAACAGGACAAATTATCTTCTGTAAGTAATGTTACAGAATACAGCCCAATTTGGACAGCAGAGGATGGAGTCACTCTAGTGGGGCGGGCAATGTAGAAATGTGATACTTATAAAAATAAGTAAACAAACTTATTGTTTTACTTATTAAAAGGATATAAAATATTGCTTGCTTAGTGAAAAATAAGTAAAGAAATAAAAGGAAACAATTCTAACCCTAATAACTCCAATAAACAGATAGAGATAGATACTCATCAGCGATCTCTGTATAGATTAGCTTAGTGGTGCATCTATTCATATCTTCTTTCTATCTATAGTTGTCTAGTTCTATCACAAATATTCCCGCTACATGAGGATTGCTTTTGTTTTGGAAATCCACACAGCCAACAAGCACTTATTAGCAGCAGAAAGGGCCCGTTGTTTCTGCCGCTCCCAGGTTCTGCTCTCAGAAAGTAGCTGAACATAGCAGCTGGAGACCGTATCCTGTGTAAAGCATATACGGAGCTGGGTTGATTCCAGATGCCCAATCAGTACTTCTGCTGCTGGTGCTATGAAGATAGAATTCAGGAGTAAAGCAATGCCTTCTTCTCACCCACAAACTTCTAATCATTTTTTTTTTTAATTTGGGGAGGTAGACCCAACATTTCTGGAGTAAATAAGGTTGATTTGAATGTTCTTCAATTTAGGTAGGTTTTGTCTCTTTAACCTATATATGAACTTTCATACTTATATATACTGCAATTCTCAGAAGCATTTTTGTACATGCCACCTGACTTTCCTGAAGCAGATTAGTTGACTCAAGGAGTCAGGTCTTTCTAACTTTCAGGGTAAGCGTCAAGACTTTTCCTGTTTTTCTCTTCTGTAAAGGCTATATATAGTCTTTTGTGTTGTATTGAGATCTGCTTAAATCAGACATGGTGTTGTGCTATAAAAGCTCTTAAGTCAGGGGTGTCCAACCTTGGCAACTTTGAAGGTGGACTTCAACTCCCAGAATTCCCCAGCCAGCATTGGACACCCTTAAGTGATTTAGAATCAGATTGTGAGATTGTGTCAATTTGCCTAAGTACTATCACGTGGTTTCTTGATGATAAGCTGTTGGTACACAAGGACATTTAACCTAGAGTTTGGAAGGGACTTTCTGTAATCGTAGCATTTAATTTGCTATTCTATCTCCCTCTGTGGTTTGTAATTTAAATTTATTGATTATTCTTCTACTGATTTTTAATATTTGCAGCAATAAGAGAAGAGTGGAGTAGAAAGTCTGATGCTCATTAAAGTTACTAAATAAAGCATTTTCTGTGATATCTGCTACCTCTTAAAGAAACTCTATTCCACGCATTCTTTTCACCCATGATCATTATGAAATATTAGACAACACCAGTGGAAGGTCTATTCCCTGGTTTGCAGGAAGCATCACAGAGCACCCGACATATTAATTTTTGGATAATACAGTATTGATCCAGTCCTTGATAGGAAGATTTGATAGGCATAACCCTTGTTAGAGGCTGGTGTGATCATACTTAGCTCTTATGTTTTTGTCTTGAATACATGAGGATGAAAACCAGTTCCGTAATGCAATGGCTGAATTCACTGCCTGCTCATGTTTCAGGGTGCTTTAGGGGCCAGTTCACACAAGAAGGATTATCTACTCACAAATCAAATCCCAGGCAGGAAATTATGCAATTTAGCATATGAGAACCAGCTCAGGCACATTCATTTTGCTGTAGGTAAAGTTTATCTTGTATGAAGTAGTCCTTGTAGACCTGAAAGCTGAAGAAGAGAGTTTCAGAACTGAATATAATAAGCCCTCATCTTCTTTCAATGATTATGCTTAATGACAAAAAAAAAATTACCAAGCAGCATGAGAAGGTCACAGTGGGAAGTTAACCCATAACATGGAAAACTACAAAATCACTTGTTACATCCCAGAGAGTGAGCTTAATTTGTTTCAAATCAAATCCATCTGTTCATTTCACACGCTTTGTTCCACTTCCTTGCAGCAATCCACAGTGGAGTACTCTGTTACTTTAAAATTGGCTGCAATTATGATAAGCTAATAACTCTTTATTTTGTGGTTAACTGCATCAAGATATTTGGATCACTTCCAAGCTCTCAGTTCATTCTTCAGAATTATCCAAATCATCTATTGGGCCAAGTGTTCACAGAAAAAAACCTAGGTTTAAAATTAATGCCCAATTTTAATATTTATAAATGCTATATTAATGCTGTCATTCAGTTACTTGCTCCTAATTAATCAGCCATGTATTTCCTCTTAATGTGAGCATAACCTTAATGTCGGGCTGGTGTTTGGAAATGTCATTCATGTATTACTGGAGAAAATTACACATTAAGATTTTACTCATCCGGTTCAAGTACATCTCACTCTTTAACGTCCCTTTCTTCTCTTGTGCCCCTTCCTCCTGCAAAGTTAGTTCTCACCAGTGTTGTGCCTGTGGAAATGTATTTAGTTAAATGTATTTACTGAAAGCTAAGAAAAATTCCTTCTCTTACTACTGCAATGCACTCTATATGGGATTCCCCTTGAAGACTGCTTGGAAACCTCAACTGGTGTTCCAGAATGCAGAGGCATGCACAGTAAAGGGATCCACTAGGTTTGTCCATTTAACACCTTGGCTGCGTGAGCTGCACTGGCTTCCAGTTTCTTTCCTGGTGCAATTCAAGATGCTGGTTATCACTTTTAAAGTCCTGTATGGCACAGGGTCAGTTTATCTGAGGGATCACCTTTCCCTAATGACATGTACCCATCCCACCAGGTCAGATAGAATGGGCATGCTTCTAGTCCCTTCCCCTAAATATTGCCATCTAATGGGAGGAGGCATGTTTTTTCCATGGCAGCCCGTGCCTTATGGGACACTCTGACCTCTGAAGCAAGACCCCACCCTCCTAGCCTTCTGTAAATGTTTAAAGACCAGCCTACTCCCCGCTTCCCCCAAGTGCTGGAATAAGATTGGGTTACCACACATTAAAAGTTTGACTTGGAGCCAGGTTTCTGAGTATTTTTAGAGTTTTCACATCTTTAGTTTTATATGTTGTTTTAACTGTTGATTGGGAGCCCCATCCCAATTGGTTAGAATTGGGATGGCTATTCAAATGTTTTAAATAAATAAATCCAACACTTAGTGGATTTGATCAGGAACCAAGCACGTGAAGATTTAACTCTTTGATCCACTGTGCCCCTAATAGCAATAGCAATTAGACTTATATACCACTCTTTATAGCCCACACTAAGCAGTTTACATAGCCTATTGACCCCAACAACCTGGGTCCTCGTTTTATTGATCCAAGAAGGATGAAAGACTGAGTGAATCTTCAGCCCATCCTGATCAACCCCGGACTGAGGGCAGAGTTTGCCTGCAATATTGCACTCTAACCATCATGCCACCAGGCCTCTTGGTTCTTAAGATTTTTTTTTTTACTTGCAGTGTACTGAAGTGAGGGTGTGATTAATTGTCCTCATATTGCCACCACTTTGAACTGAGGGGCAGGACATTACAGCTAAATTGGATCTACTCTAGGAATGTTTCTGTGTTCTACTTCACGTTTAACAGGGGTACTTCAAGACTTCTTAATGTGAAGGACTTTCAGCTGCAGGTGAGTCAAAATGTAAATTACTCCAGATGTTTATTCCATTAACCATGATCCACTTAATTTCATTTCAGCTTCCAACTTAAGTTTCCTATAAACTTCTGTGCAAGTGCAGCTGTTTGTGTGTTTTTTAATAATTACATTTAGAATGGTAATTACAGATTGCCTCTTAATGGTGTCTGAGTGCAAGTCTCTAACTTTTCCATGCTTTGAAGAAACAGCACTTCATTAAAAAAAAATACCCAAATCCAAAACAGGATATTAAGCTCTGTATGATTTAAAACAGAAGAATTGTTACAAAAGGCTGTTTTGATGTCTTCATTATAATTTTGTGTTTTTTTTCCATTGGTGAAGTAATTAGGCTCCTAAAGATAAAATACAGTGTAATTTTATATTTTTCGCTCTCAATAGGAAATATTTATTCCATGGGGGGGGGGGGGAATTACTTCAGCTCATTTACCTTTTTTGTCTAAAGTTCTGAATAGCAAATTCTCATGTTTCTATTTAATTTACAAGCACTGTTTTCTGCCCCAAAGAAGTATATTCGACTATATGCTTCCTTCCTCTTAACCATACATGGAACTGAACTGTAACATGAATTCATATAAACATTTAATATAAATATTTCTTTTGTATATATTTATTAAACAGATTTAATGATACAAATGTTGAAAATTAACACACTTGCTAATGGCAAAGCTTTTATAGAGCAGGGTTCACTATGAGATACATAGACAGTTTCTCTGAATTACCAGTTATGTATTTGCCTGAATAGAAAGAAGAAATAATAATGCTGGCAGTGAAAATGGAAAGTTTTCCACATCATGTTTCCGGTGTGGAATTTGGAATTCAGATAGGGTCATTGAAATTGTTTAAGTTTCCTGATAGAATAGATTGATGTTCAGTCACATTCAGAGAGTAATTAGGACTGCAGAAAAAACAATTACTACCAACCTGCCTTCCATCGAGGACCTGCATATTGCACGAGTCAAAAAGAGGGCTGTGAAAATATTTACAGACCTCTCACATCCTGGACATAAACTGTTTGAACTCCTACCCTCAAAATGACTGCTATAGAGCACTGCACACCAGAATAACTAGACACAAGGACAGTTTTTCCCCAAATGCCATCACTCTGCTAAACAAATAATTCCCTCAACACTTTCCAACTATTTACAAAGTCTGCACTATTAGTATTAATCTTCTCATCATTCCTTATCACCCATCCCCTTCCACTTGTGACTGTATGACTAACTTTGTTGCTTGTATCCTTATGATCTATATTGACTGTTTCCTAGTATGATTTGATTGCTTATTGTATCCTATGACTATCATTAAGTGTTGTACCTTACAATTCTTGATGAATGTAGTTTTTCTTTTATGTACACTGAGAGCATTTGCACCAAGACAAATTCCTTGTGTGTCCAATCACACTTGGCCAATAACAAATGCTATTCTATTATATTCATACCATGGTCTTGCCAGCCCACAGAACATCCTTTGTCCTTCAACATCATCAGTACTAATTCCATAGCTAACTTCAATTTTCTTTTGTTTTTGTTTGTTACCTTTGAGACTTTTTGATGCAGGTAGTCCTCAACTTAGGATCACAATTGAGCCCCAAACTTCTGTTGCTAATTTAGACTTTTGTTAAGTGAATTTTGTCCCATTTTACGACCTTTCTTGCCGTAGTTGTTAAGTGAATGACTGCTGGTGTTAAGTTAGTAACACAGTTACTAAGTGAATCTGGTTTCCCCATTGGCATTGTTTGTCAGAAAGGTGCAAGAGGTGTTCACATGACCCTGGGACACTGCAAGCATCATAAATATGAGTCAGTGAATTTTGATCACATGATGATGTGGTTGGTGCAATTGTCATAAAAGCATGAAAAATGGTCAGTCACTTTTTTCAGTGCCGTGGTAACTTTGAACATTTACTAAATGAACTGTTGTAAATTGAGGACTACTGTATTTTATGTAATCCAAGAAAACAGAGATAATTATATGTATTTAAGAATTAACACAATCCAGATTCTGAAGCAAACAGATCCCTGGAAACTGTCGAGTAACTCTGTTCTTCTGTGCTCCTGCACAACTCTCTTTTACACAATTTCCCGTCTTTTTGTCTGTGCTGTGTCAGTCTTTAAAAATCCAGCCTTTGCCATTAAATGACAGTACAATGAATTTCAACTGTGGTTGCAAATCCCCTCGGGGGATGACTTGCTGCCTCTTCAGAAAACTGATTGAACAATATGAATGACTATGATATCTGAAGGCAGACTCTGCATTTCCCTATTTTGAATCTGAACAATGTCTAGGAAGCTATTTGAAAGGCCGTTAAACCGCTAATCACATGCAATCTATTTTGTAACCGTGGGTGATATGTGGTGACGGCAAATTCAGATGGAAGGAGAATATGAAATTCAGATAGCAGCTTGAGTGATTTGGGTTAGCATGGGGCCCAATAACACTACAAAGCTATAAACTCTGTCGATCTAGATTGCCCAGTTAGGTGGCAGAGATGCAATTTGTCTCTTCTGAAGCCGCCTGCTGCTTGCTAGCTCCATCTCCTGTCACAGCCTATTAGCTCCCTGAGAAAATTGGTGGGAAATTGCCTGCAGATTGCAGGAAATTGCATCTCCAGGCCCTGGAAAAAAAAATGTAGGATAGCACAACAGTGACCCTCCCAGAGCAGCTATTAATACAGCAAAAGCTGACCTTTGGCTTGGTGTGAAACGGCTTTGCTATTTATTGAATAAAGGGTGTATTATGTGCGGTTGCAGGAAGGTACAAATTATTATCCCCTACTACGTGGGTAGTGGTCCTGCTTTGCTGAGCTTTTAAGTGTTTCTCTTCTTTGAATCTTGGAAATGGCAGAGAAGAACTGTTTTTAGGACCTAGAGCACAAAACCTCTTGAAAGGAAGACTGGAAGAATTCTTGGGTTTGTTGTACCTTTCAAAAATGCAAAGTTGTATATATCAGGGCACCATCCCAGTGAAGACTGACCCTTTTCTGTTTTTCCTCTTTTCTCCTGTGATTTGAATGCTAAAACAAACTCACTGCAGCTACTTCCGTCTCTTCTTCTCCCCCATCAACATCACCAGGGATGGCCTTGGCTAATTGATACTACTAGAATTAGGACATTCTTAAGGGTGGATTTTGTGGAATTAAAAAAAGTTTATATCAAATATTCTTCCTTTGGAAAATAATAATTTTTCTCCACTTAATTGAAAATAAGCCAGCGTATGCTAAATAGAACTTAATTTTTAATAAATTGCCTAGATTAAAAAACATCTACTTTCTCTGCAGATAGAAAATGGCAGTTAACTTCCTGGTTTTTGTTGATCCCTTCAATGTCTTAGTATGTAATGATCTGAGTTCACCTTCTTCATTCTCACATTCTTTATAGTAAGAAACTGGCTGGCAATATTAAGGCTAGGTTGGCACACAGGAAAAAACACCTGTCCAGAGCATGTCTTGAATGAGCATGAATGACATGGAGAATATATTGCATGCCTCTCATTTCCATAAGTTGGATGGATAATTACTTCCTAGATATTTAAAGACTCAGTACATAGAAAATAAAATAACACTTTGGTTGAATGCCAGATTACACTTCTACTCTGCCATTTCCTCTCTTCCCCTACTCCAACATAAGGACCTCCAATGATGTCCACTAAAAATTTTTTTGCACTGAGTATAGACTTGTAACAAATCTGATCATTCCGAAACTTGATGTATTTGAAACAGAAATGAATATTGATTGGCATCTATAGATTTTACAGTTCTTGCTTGGCATGTTTAAATGCTATGTATAAAATTATAGATGAGTGCCTCAATTTGAGACATATAGCCTTATCCATTTTTATCCCCAACTACTTCTAAGATAGGTTCGGGTACATACTTCCTTGGTATCCCATGGGCCTATGGGTCCTTGATCTATATAGCTAGGCATT